TTTCTGTTTTCCAGGCGTCGTCTCTGGAGCTGCAGAAGAGTCAGCTGGAGACGAAGCTGAAGCAGAAGGAGGACGAGTTGAACAAACACTCTGCGATGATCGCCATGATCCACAGCCTCAGCAGCGGCAAGATGAAGAGCGACGTCAATCTGTCGCTCTGAGCGGCGGCCGAGCTGCACCGGGGAAAATCTGATTTTAAAAACATGAGAAATGATCTTATAACACGTGAATAACAAGACTTCAAAGTTCAGGCTGTAGAAATGAAACTTTGGGCTGGTTTATCAGGACGTGCAGATGTGTGACAGTTCTGCTCTGCAGGTTCAATGAGACGGAGCGGCTGCTGAAGGAGGTGCAGGCGGCTCACGTTTCTCTCACCAAACACACCGACACCCTGAAGAAGAGCCACGAAGCCCTCCAGCTGCAGCAAAACAAGCGTGCCACACACACACACACACACACACGTGCGACACTTGTTTCCTTTGACCTGAAGACGAGGTTTCTGACGCTCGTTGCTCTTTGTTAGGACGGCGTCATTGTTGCAGGAGAGAGAAGAGGAGATCAGATCGCTTAATTCAGATCTACAGAAGAAAAACGGTGAAATCTCAGGTTGGTTTTCAGTTAATTTCACAGTAACAGACTCATACAAATGTGTGTATCCTAAATATGGCAATCTTTCCCCCTGAAATCTGATCCCGAGACTCTTCATTCATCAGAGATGTGAGAAAATCTGTGCAACCTTTATTTGTTTATTAGAGGAACGTTTTTATTATCGCCTGTTTGTCTAAAACCGCCTCTGACTGATAAAGTCAAGATTATACGATATGTTTTTATCAGCGCTGAGATTAAAAACAACTTAAAGGATTTGTAACCTATCCATGAGCCTCAGGCAGCACTTTGCTTTGTTCCTGTCAGGTCTGCGCGCTGAACTCCGGGCTGAGGAGGAGAAGGTGAAGGAAAAGGAGCAGGAGAGGAGAGACCTGGAGGAGACGGTGGATGTTTTAAGGAAAGTTGCACGTGAGCCAAAAATATTGCACATAACATGG